ACTGCTGCTCACTATGAAGATTTTCATCCTTCCACCTCTGCATTTCCAAATGCTGGTGATGATGATGATGAAGATGATGATGATGATGATGACTCTGAACCTTAATTCCATATGCAGGTACTGACCTTGGTGGTGATGACGACGACGATGACGATTTTTGTGTTCAAGTCATTCCAAGATAGCCTGTCAAAGGAATATCCTTCAGGGAACCTGCTTCATAGGAGGAGAGATCATCAGGGAACCAACACTCCTTATGCAAAGGAAAAGGAGTCGCTGAAGACCACCTCGCCCTAGTTCTTGTGGCGATCAGCCAATATGAGGATGCAGACACTTCAAAGTTTGTATATCTTTCCCCAGAAGCTGAACTTTCTACCTTTATCCCTCTATCTCTCTCTGCAACAACCCCTCTTAGTCTCTCAACCCATCTCCCATCTTTTGAATCCCTAGTGGACGATGAAGATGAAGCCAACAACCTAATACCCATGAAGTCTTCTAGACAACCTATGTACATAATTCTTAATATAATTTCTTATTTTTTGATCTTCTTGCAGACCTTCAGAATAATTTTTATCGCACCAAAAGGAATGATGACCTTGGGTTGTACCAAGTCTGAAACCAATTGGATTTATTTTTTTGTCCCATGTTCCCGAGGGGGGATCACACCTATCTCAATAAAGTCTATGATTGGTTTGAAGAGCGTCTCGAGATTCAGGCGATTACAAATGATATAACTAGTAAATATGTTCCTCCCCATGTAAACATATTTTATTGTGTAGGGGAAATTACGCTTACTTGTTTTTTAGTATAAGTGGCTACAAGATTTGCTATGACCTTTTACTATCGTCCGACCATTACTGATGGTTTTGCTTCTGTTCAATACATAATGATTGAAGCTAATTTTGGTTGGTTAATTCAATCAGATCATCGAAATAATGAGTCACCATTGATATCGACACATCTGAAAAATGTTTGGGAGTTCCTCTATGCAATCCTTTTTCCTCTTGTTGTTGTTGCATATCTCGATTGTACGCGTCTTCTCTTTGTTTTTGAGGCCTCTAGTGAATTACATACAGAGTTTGAAAAGGTTAAATCTTTGATCATTCCATCATCTATGATTGAGTTGTGAAATCGAATATGTATATGTGTATGAAGTATTAAGATTCTTTTTGAACTATAGAAGAAATAAAAAAGAAGATAAAATAGAATCTCATTTTTTTAAATATTTGGTATAATAAACTCTTTACCCCTCTATAAAAATAGAATAGATAGGGTATATCTCTAAAGACCGAGATGGATAATATCTATTACTATCTAGACCCTTAATGAAAATGTATTTATATCAATTTACTTGGTAAAATAGAGACTCATACAGATTGACCATGTGTTGAACTGGTGACATGAGGATTTTCAGTCATCCGCTCTACCAATTGAGTTAGGATACTTCAATGTAGTAAGTCCAACTAAGCCAACCATAAATTCTTCTAATTGGTAATAGTAATTCGAATCCCCCCAAAAATGGATATAATTGCACTTCACGCTCTAGATTTTTGATGATTCAATTAATCTTTTGTGGGCGAAACAGAGGATATCTTGATTGGGGAGAAAACGTGGAAATCCCATATGACCCAATATATCTGACATTGTATGTCAACCTATACTACGCCTTTCCTCGTCTTTGGGTGGCTAGGTATCCACCATAAGCCTTTCCTCGTTTGAATCTCGCCTTTAATTTTAAGGCTATGTCATCCTAAGGTGCTGCTAAATGGATGAATTTTATCAATGTTTATGAATGATAAATCATATATCGAACCTCCGAATCGGAAAAATTGGGTGCTATCATATAGCTTTGTATCGGCTAAGTTCACGAGTTGGAGATAAGCGGACTCGAACTGTTGACATCCACCGCAGGGTAAACCACCGCCTCTCAGGTCCCCGACTGATTCTACCATAGAGGACAACGATAGACAATAACTCCCACTGGACACAGCTTACAACTTTCAATGTATTGGCTTATTCGAAAAAGGCCTTGCTCTTTGGAAGATCTATCTCGTGTCTGGTACTGCACGGTTCCACTCTGCAAGAAATACAAATCATTCTCTTGAAGCTCATCATCTTCATCATAAATGATCCGCTTGCCTTGAAATGACCTGGACCAATAGGGAAATCCCAATTCATTGGGCATTTCGATACAATCAAATAGAAATCCCCAAGGGCGCTATATTCTAGGAGCCCAAACTATGTGATTGAATAAATATTTCTCTATATGTTGCGGGTCAAGAGATCATTCTCCTTCCCCTTCTTCAAACTCCGATTTGTCTTTTTCATAGAGAAATATTCGTCAAGGATAGAACAAGATCCATTTTGCATCATATCCAAGGAATTCCTTGGTTCGGGTCGAAGAAGCAATGTCACTCGATCATTATCAAACTGACTGCATGTCTGTGAGGATCCCACCAGAGCAATTAGGCAATATTTAAGTGCCTAAAAGGGCCTAGTTATATCAAAGTCATTATGTTGGAGTTAAGTCGGATAACTTCACATTTGTTATGGCTCGGGCCTTTTATGGCAGATATTGGGGGCACAAACTCCTTTCTTCTATATTTTTCGAGAAAGAGAATTGATATATGACCTAATCGAAGCTTCCATTGGTATGCGAATGATGCATAACTTTTTTTTCGTATTGGAGGAGTCATTGTTGATTTACCTCATGGCTGGATAGATAAATATTTGGATCTTTTGCAAAATCTAAGGGGCAATTTAAGGCCCAATATTTCTCCCTATTTTTCTAATCCTGCAAATACAGAATTGTCGTAAGGGATATAACTTCGGTAATTCACCAAACCAAGGTTCATCTCGTGTAGTGATTGTGAACTCAAATGGGAGCCTGCTGGCAAAGAGAATGTTAGTGAGTCTTAGCAAATTTCTCCCTTTTTAGAATGGCTCCAGTGGCTACATTTATGTTTAACAAGAATTGTTGAATATCAAAAGCTTATTACACGAAATCCCATTTTTTTTAGAAAGAGTTGAAGGAGTAGGCATTATTGGTGGAGAGGAAGCAATAAATTGGGGTTTGTCGGGACCAATGCTACGAGCTTCCGGAAGACAATGGAATCTTCGTAAAGTTGATCATTATGAGTGTTATGACGAATTTGATTGGGAAGTCCAATGGCAAAAAGAGGGGGATTCATTAGCTCGTTATTTAATACGAATAAGTGAAATGACAGAATCCATAAAAATTATTCAACAGGCTCTAGAAGGAATTCCGGGAGGGCCCTACGAAAATTTAGAAATCCGCCGCTTTGATAGAGTAAAAGATAATGTATGGAATGAGTTTGACTATCGATTCATTAGTAAAAAACCCTCTCCGACTTTTGAATTGTCGAAGCAAGAACTTTATGCGAGAGTCGAAGCACCAAAGGGAGAATTGAGAATTTTTTTGATAGGAGATAAAGGTGTTTTTCCTTGTCGATATAAAATTCACCCACTGAGGTTTATTAATTTGTAAATTCTTCCTCAGTTAGTTAAAAGAATGAAATTGGCTAATAATATGACGATACTAGGTAGTATAAATATCATTATGGGAGAAGTTGGAACCTCCAGTTATCTTGGTAGAAATTTGATATATTTATTTCCGTCTCATGAAATAGTTTTTTTTTTCCACAAGGAATTGTCATGTCTTTCTATGGGATCGTGGGTCTTTTTATTAGCTCCTATTTGTGGTGCACAATTTTCGTGGAATGTAGGTAGTGGTGTTATGATCAATTTGATAGAAAAGACGGAATAGTGTGTATCTTTTGGTGGGGATTTCCTAAAAAGAATCATCGGGTCTTCCTCCAATTTCGTATAAAAGATATTCAGTCCGTCAGAATAGAAGTTAAAGAGGGTATTATGCTCTTCGTGTCTTTTATATGGATATCAAAGGTCAGGGAGCCATTCCATTGACTCGTACTGATGAGAATTTTACTCCACGAGAAATGGAACAAAAAGCTGTTGAATTGGCCTATTTCTTGCGTGTACCAATTAAAGTATTTTAAGAAATGAGCAGAGAAATTAATGCTTTCTCAACATTCGTTGCATCTCATCTTAATGTGCATCTAAAGGTGAAGATCTCTTCTTATGCTTCTCATATTAACTCTCTTTCTCACACGATCCTTCACACACACACACACACATACACACACACACATATATATATATATATATATATATAGGTGGGTTTTTATACAATCTTTTACATTTGTACAACCAATACAACCCAATCTCAACCGTCCTTTTAATTTAATGAATATGTGATTTCATAGAAGTTTTGATTGTTTCATAATATAAAGTATTGATCATAATTAATGAATTATATTCATCTTATATAAATATTCAAATCATAATAAATGAACTCTCATCATTTTCATAAATATCTCAATTTATTGGGTTGCATTGGTTATACAAATGTGATGAGTTGCATTTGAAACGAACTCTCTCTCTCTCTCTCTCTCTCTCTCTCTATATATATATATATATATATAGGTGAATGTTCAAACGAGAACACTTTCATTTTAAGAAAACGTGAGAACACCCTTATCACATATGATAATACACGTGAGGGACATGATGGTGTGCAGACGACTTGACCCATGACCGAGGTTGCGCCAAAGACTTGGCCCGTTACCTAGATTGCACCAAAGGTCGCCCACGTGTCTAATTTAGTATCAATTGTTTATCATATGTGATGAAATAAAGTATCACATGTGATTGACTATAATAAATAATATTCTCGCGTTCTTGTAAAATGAAAACGTTCTCGTTTGAAATATTCCCCATTATATATAGATTTAAAAAAGTGAATGATTTGAAAAAATAATACAAAAGACGTTGGTGATTTTGAGGCTAGGCGACTGGCGAGTTATACTGCATGGGCCTATAATTTGGAAGCCCATCACAAGCCCACAATATATAAACCTAACATAACGCAAGATGTTGATTACTATTCCTTTATCCTTGTTTGCAGAGGGAAGAAACAAAAATGGCGACACTTGAATCACTCAACCTCTCACGCTTATCTCCTCCATTCCAATTTCCCACAAAATTAAATCCCACTTCCACCCCCAAACTTTTCTTCAAATCCCCTCTTTTTACCCCAATTTCTAGAAAATTCCAGGCCTGCTTATCATCAGCAATCCAACACGAGGTTACAGAAGAAGAAGAGGAGGAGGAGAATCTAGAGACAACCCAGAAAGAAGATAATGGAAAGAAACTGCTTTTTGTTCTTAATCTTCCATGGTCTTTCTCTGTCGCTGATGTGAAGAATCTGTTGGGTGAATGTGGACCTGTGGCAGATGTTGAGGTATAATTCACATATCACAGTGTTTCAGTGTTCTATAGTTGTATGAATAATTTTGTTGTTTTTGGTGATTCATAGATTATAAACTGTGAAGAGCATGGGAAAAGAGGGTTTGCATTTGTTACAGTGTCTTCTGGGGAAGAGGCTCTTGCTGCCATCAAGAAACTTGATTCTCATGTAACTTCATTCCTTCCTTTGTCAACTTATAATCTTAATCATGACTTTTTAGTAAGCAACACAGAATTTTAGTGTATATTATCATCATTCCTTCATCAACATAAAAAAGATGCTACAGGATCTCTTCAAGGTTGAATATGCAAAGAAAGCTACACCTCCAAATGAGTTGTTTGCTGATTCCCATTCCAGAGTTGTGTTCAGCCCTTCATCTGGATATGGATTACTCTCATTTGCCTCCAAGGAGGAAGCAGAATCTGCAATTTCTGCCTTCAATCACAGCAAGGTAAGTTGTTTATGAATTTGAATGATGTGTTTCAGATTAGATGCATGACATTTGTTTGAATTCATATAGAATTCCTTTTGGTCAGTAGTGGGAAATCAGGAGTCTGTTTTTGATCAAGACTTGATCAAGGTAAACCAAGTTATAGAATTGGACTTACCATCAAAAATGGAGTTCCTGCTAATTTGATGTGTAACCTCATTGTAGGTTAAGCTCTCTGAATACATTGCCAACAACTATGTCATTCTCTTTTTCGATCTCACTCCAACTGCACATCATCAAGATTTCGGTGTTTCCGTTGCCACAAAACCAATCACGCCTCCATCTTCCTCCCTGATTTCTCTTCCTGTTCCCCCAAAACCACCCTCTACGCCACCGCCCATCTCCGCCACAAACACCCACCTCCAAGAAAAGCTCCTTTACCTTGATTCCTTCGGAATTGACCTAATTCCTCTCCTCACCACCCACCCTCCCCTCATCTCAACTTCCCTTTCCCATATCAAATCCACCATCTCTTTCCTCTCTTCCACCATCCCGCTCGCCCCACCCGCCCTCCACCGCCTTATATCCCTTTGCCCTGAAGTTCTCACACTTCCACTTCCCTCCATCATCTCCACCATCACATTCCTCCTCCGAGAAGCCAATGTCCGCACCCACCACCTTCGCCGCGTCATCCACCGCCGCCCAAGACTCCTCGCCTCTGATGTCAAAACCCGCCTCCGTCCCACCCTCTACTTCCTCCAGGGAACAATCGGCATTTCGGAGATCAACAAACACGCCCATCTCTTATCCAGTTCTGTCGAAGACAAACTCCTCCCACGAATCCAATACTTCAACGAAAAGATCGGAATATCCTACGACGACACAATCTTGATTTTCCGGCGATTCCCGTCGTTGTTTTGTTATAGTATAAAGGACAACCTTGAGCCGAAATTCAATTACTTTGTGGTGGAAATGGGGAGGGATTTAAAGGAATTGGTGGAGTTCCCACAATACTTTTCGTTTAGCTTAGAAAATCGGATAAAGCCAAGGCACCGGCGGTGCGTGGAAAAGAGTGTGTGTTTACCATTGCCGGGGATGTTGAGGTTGAGCGAGAAGCGGTTTCTAGAACGGCTGGAGGAGTGCTGTGGTTCTTCTATGCCGGTGAGGAATTCTCCGTTTTGGTATTACACACATCATAGTGATTACTGACTGGTGATAGTTGTAAAGTCTTGTTATTATTATACATCATTCTTTTCATTTCTGTGTATATATCATCAAGATTCCTGGAAATTGACTGTTTCAAATCAGTCCAATCTCCAAAGGAATTGTAACTTGTACTGTTAATTGTCATATGTCTGAACAAGAATCATCTGCTTAATTGTGGAAGTGGTGTCTTGAAGAGGATAAGACTGACATTCAGATGAAGTGAATTCCATTCAGCCTCTAGTGTTGGGTTGTGAATAAAGCAAAGCAGCAGCTTCCTTATGCTTCTTCCTTTTGCAGACATCATGGGATCAAATGCATATAAAAGTCTGAATTGTGTGCTTAATCAAGCTGTTTTTCACCTTTTTCCTTGTTGAAAACTGAACATAAACATACCAAAGGGCCTTTGGTCTAGTGGTATCGTAGCCCTTGCGAAGGTCAGGGGTTCAAATCTCACCATAAGTGAAAAGGGTGTGTGAGTTTATTTGTTGCATTTGACGTATATATTATATACTTCAAAAAAAAAAATTCACTTCTCCAAAAGTTGACATCTTTGATCTTGTGGAAGATTGAAAACAGAGTCCCAACACTTGAAAAACGCATGGTTTCTTGATGACACTGTTTTAATGAAGCATCTTCTGTTTGATCAAAGATAACAGCATCCATATTGTTGTTATAGCGGTCAAAGTATAAAAAAAGTGGTTAGTTAAATTGTCATATTGAATAGCAGTTATTGCAGCGGTAAAGCGGTCCAAAAATAACAATTCATATAATAATCATTAGAATTATATATATATATATATATATAGCAGTTATTGCAGCGGTAAAACGGTCCAAAAATAACAATTCATATAATAATCATTAGAATTATATATATATATATATATATATATATATATAGGGGTTTAATCAAATGAGAACTAAGTTGTTTATGATAACTGTAATAACCAATCTCAACCATATATTAAAAAAATCAATGGTTAAGATTAAAAAGAATCTTAATTATTCTATTTCTATAAATAAATTAGTGTCATTTAATGAAATTATATGAATAAGGGCAACATCGTCATTTTGTACTTTATTTTATTCAGACCGCGCTCAAATCCGTTAATATTCTCGTTCAATTTCGAATCTAAATATGGTGAATATACTTTCCTGTATTTGAGAGAGACGACCGCCTAAGCCCTAGAGTAATCGCAAGTGCAAGTCTATACATAAACGATGGAGGATGACGAAKGAATAGGTATAATCGGTTTATGTTCTTCATTTTCAATATGAATAATCCAGTAACCCTTGTTTCTGTAATGTGGAATGGTACAGGAAGAAGGAGATTAAAGGCGAAATTGATGTTTAAGTTTTCAAATAAAGAAAGCCAAGCCATTGACCTAGAAACCGATGTTGAAGACCATGTTGATGTTATAGCAATCGAAGAAACAGGTATCATCTCATTACATTCCCTAACACGATTTTAGGTTTAAATCATCAGTTTTAGGGTGTAGTGTTTGTGGTTGTTTGTTTTAAATACTCATATCACATGATTATCACACCCCTATCACATGATTACACCAAAATTTTAACTTATTAAC